TATATATATATATATATAGGTCAACTATTTCCATACATGAGAGGTTCAATCCAAAATCCATTCAAGTGGGAGTTTCCCGTTGCTGTGATATATTTTGTAGAAAGACCTAGGTAAACCTAATGAGTAAAGCCATACAAGACTTCATGGTTCTATTACAATTTTTGTAGCGTTCTTTAAAAAAACCCAAACAAATATTAATCAATTAGGACAATGAGAGAAACAGTGAGATAAACATCTTCTAATCTCAAAATGAGCTTAAGAGTCAAGTTCAACTGTTGATAAGTCTAGTATCTACTTCAACAAAGGAAAATTCTGAATTGAGTACTAAAGCAATTCACACTGGTATTATATCAAATAAACCTGAAATTTGTATATCAGGTGCATTTCCATCTAACACAGGTGTAAAAAACATAATACATGAATACATACCCCCCCCCAAAAAAACCCTTGAATGTGACATGAAGAATGACGTAGAATGAGCATAAATTACCCAGTTAAGTTTTCTTGCTTAGTTTTGCTCTTTTTAAATATTTGAATAAAAGCTATAAAACAAAAAAAGTGCCTTAGTATAATACTATGGCAAGAGTCAGAGCACTCAGGACCAAATTCTCTTCCCATTAAGGTCTGATAGAAAAACCAATACAAGAAGCAGCACCTGTTCTAATCTTCTTTATTGTAAAACAGAAATTACTAAAATATTTTAAAGAACAATATAGACTAAAAAGTCTGTTTGTAGAGATAATGTGTGATTTTATGTATTATATAATGCTGCATGAAACATAGTATTTCATATAGTTTTGAATTGAAAGTAAGCTTCTTCATACACAGAATATTACATTTTGTAGTATTATCTAGTTGCTTTATTTGTTTTCTAAGTGAACAAGAAGAGTATTTTTTTTCTGTGTGTTAGCTGCATACGCACTTCCAGGGGCTCTCCTCTACCTGTATCACTACTAAGCTGTATTTTATAGGACATACCAACAAAGCAGCTTTGTCCAATTCTGTTTTGCTCTAATTTTACTAAAACTTCAGGGGTTTTAATGATGGTCTGAATTCAATTGTTAAGAAAAATGTGGCACACCATCATAAATTAAACAGCTCTAAGATTTACTCAGGTTATTTTATTAAAGAACAAAACTGTACACTTCATATTAAAAAGTCAATTCATTATGTTTAGGTATTTCCCATAGAAAGTAACAGAACAATTGTACAGTAAACCACGGTCCCACTGACTTCCTGTTTAATTTTTCTCCATTTATCATAATGGGTTTAAAAAGTTGAACAAAAAGCCTGATCTAGTTCATCAAAAACAACAGAAGGAATCCTGCAGTCTTTGATGATCAATTGACTTCTTGTAATAAAATAATCTAAGAATAGTCTTTTGCAAAAATGCACACCTGTGTGCCATGGTTAGTTTAAAAAGCACAGGTATCTCGTGAAAAAGCTGGGACAAATATACTCATTCCCCACCACCACCACCTTAACTTGACCCAACAATCTTGGAGTTCATCACAAATTTCTTTGTACAGTACAATACTCATACGGGACTTTGTAACAAAAGCTCCCAAACTATCTAATGCAATTTACTAACTGATATTAAAGGAGTTGAGACAACTGGAATGAAATGTCACTTTAGTAAATGGGAAGGCATAAATATATTGCTCCACATTAGAGCTTCTGTATTTCTAACAGTGAAAAGCAAATAATAAAACACTCAAGAGGAAATTAAAATCTACAAAGTATGAAACTCACGGATGTTCACAAAGATAGGAAAATGCCACTTATCAAAAGCATGCTTGAAATGCATTTTCCTGTGACTTGGCATACACCATTAAAAGAAACAGTCCTTCCAATTTATCTAAAAATCACCTCAGGATAACCAATAAAAGACACAATTCAACACCATCTAATCAACATGATAAACACTTAAATAACTGTTCCTTGACTTTTCATAAAAATATGTACTTACATACTTAATTATTTCCTTTTGATTGCAAAATGATCGTGTAAAGGCTTTCTATTAGCAGGTAAAGGCTTTATATTAAAAATTCTGCTTATCTTTTATGTCAGAATTATTAGAAATATCAGACTGAACTTCCATTCAATTCTAAGATTTTTTGAAAGCCTGCTTATTTAAGGAACTACAGAAAGACAAGCCTTAACACGATTTATCAAACCCACCCTCAGACACAAGTAGGATGATGAGTTTTTCCTGTCAGCTTCCTACAGCATCACCATCCAATTTTTTAAGGAACTTAAAACCAAATAAATCCTCCAATAAAAGCAGGTTGTTAAGACCTGATATTCCTAATATAAAAAAACTTTAAATTACATTTTGGGGTTGTCCCTTTAAGTTAAAAGGCAGCAGAGTTACAATCATTGTTTGTTAAAATTCATTTTTAAAAAAGTCTATTACTTTGGAAAGGAAAATTAATATTTTGATAAACAATTTCAATGTAATGAATAAGCTATAAAATATTAAAAAATAAATTACAGTAAAAGTTCAGTTACGCAGGAGGTCTATGCTTTAGAAACTAAGAATTTGCAAGCAAAAATTAATTACCAGCGGAAGAGAAGGAAGAAGCAGCTGAAATAAGGTGATGGGTTGCCAGAGAGGAAAGAGTAATGAGCAGTGAAGCTAAAAACATAAGGAAGGCCTAGAGAGGAGAAAAGGAAGAGTGTTAAGGGGAAAAAAAGGAGCTTATTACTAAGCAAGTTACAAGTCAAGGAGAAATATGAAAAGAGTATCTGCAGGTAAAAATAAGCCAAGAAGATTAAAAAAAAAAGTATAATCATCACACAGATACCAGGACAAGCTGTTATCTTACCAAAGTGCTCTATTACCAGTGTAGATACAGGAGATCAGTAAAAATTTATAATCAAAAATAAGACTTCTAAGATGAGATGATAAAGTGTCATGATCTCCTTTGGCCACCTCTGGTCAAATAAGCAGAATTTAAAAATACTATGGACTTTTTAATGAAGTAATAATGTAAGTGCTCATGGCCTTGCCTTAAAAAGAAAAAAAAAGGTACTAGATTCCATTGCATGTGGGTTCCTGCTCAGTGATTAATAGCTGTTCTCCTTTCATAAATGCTTTTTTTGCATTAAAAGAAAAGAAGAAAGAAAAGGGGATGGAAAATCCTATTATCCATGCACTTAAGTACTTAGTATATGTTAATGAGAACACAATTACAATAGCGTGTATAGAGTAATTTTACACTATTAAAATATAATTATAAAAATTGAGATGTGTTTCTTGGCAGCAAGAATTAATGTTGGAGGTATTAACACTGAAATTAAAAATACTATTCAATTATATTTTTACACCTCTAAGCTTTGCAGCCAACCACTGTATCAAGCTACTTCACTTGTTTACACAACCGCAACATACTGAAGGATTCACACTTAACATAAATCTCCAACTGCCACAGAAGAGTGCTAATATGGGAAGGAAACAGAAATGTCAGAGAAAAGGTATGGACCTTAAAGTATTATTTTACATGGTATCAAACACAAGTTAGGAAAGAAAACAAGTTGAAGGACCAGTAAAAAAAAGCCTTTAAAATACTACATTTTTAAACCAGAAAGTGACCTACTGCTGGCAGAGGCAAACTGTGAAGCTATGGGAAAACAACTAAATGAAACAGTCAGTCCTTTAGTTACAACGCATGCATTGTGACAACCCTGACTCTGAGGGATACAGAACAGAGGGAGCATGTAGAACAAACAAAATTGAATTCTATTTTTCTATTTGGACTGATATGAATAGAAAATTTGTAAGTGCAGTTACCTATTAGCACTATCATTTGCTGCTTGGATGCTGCTGTCTATTTGTAGGACTGTTTTATAATCAACATATGCCTGTCGATACCGCTCCACAGACTCATTTGCCATTGCTCGTCGTAGAAGTGGCTTAAGGGAAAATGGCTGAAGCTCCAGAGCTCTGGAGAAAACAAAAGAAAAATGCAGGATTGAAACAGAATAACTGAAACAACATTAATAAAACTATTCTGTGATATATACAACTATACGTAACAACTTTGTGATTGCAGATGGCCCTTACAGTAACATAACCAAGGAAAATGGGACTAAGTGGTTTATAGTAATATCCTAAATGACATGCAGTTATGAAATTATTAGTGCTTTTACTACAACTTACGCAAATCCCTATCCTCCATCTGGAAAACTACTTTCATCACCAAGAAAGATTAATGGAATGGTTCTGCTGAAGAGCAAAAACTATTTTTCTTAAGTCATGCCTAGATCTATGGGGATTTCAAGTATATGGTGCTTTTGCCTACATGATTTTCAGTTCTTCTTTCTTACATGGAAGTATGCACGCAAAAAGTACATTTAGTAGGACACAAATATACATGTGTTTTTCTGGCTTTTAGGTTTTTGCCTGTATTTTGTCTGTTTACTCTTCTGATTGTGTGCCTGGTCAACACTGAGCTCAACCCCTGACACTGTGCAATCAGAACTCCTTCCAAACACCATGCGGTTTTCCAACAATATGAAGAAGCAGTCCACAAAAGTTTTATTTATTAAAGACTACCTATAGAATCATAGAATCACAGAATGCTTTGGGTTGGAAGGGACCTTGAGAGATCATCTAGCCCAACCCCCCTGCAGTGAGCAGGGATTGAACCCGTGACCTTTTATAATTCAATGATTCTTGCTAAAGAGAAAAAGAGATAAACTTTGAAGTACTGAAATTAAGATTAGTCTAGTCAATTAGATTTCATGGATTCATAAAGTGATTCAGGCTGACAGGTCCCTAGTCCAACCTTCTGCTACACGTAGGGTCAGCTCTGAGACCAGACAAGGCTGCTGAGGGCTTTATCCAGCTGGGCCCTGAAAACCTCCAAGGGAATCTCTGCACATCTCTGGGCAACCTGTTGCAATGCCCCCCACTGTTCATGGGGAAAAGCTTTCTCCTAATATACAGTCCTAATCGTGTGTGGTTCAATTTTCTGTTTTCTCTTGTCCTCCCACAACGCGCTGCCAGAAGTAGCCAGGATCCATCCTCTGGATAATCTCCTGGTAAGTACTGGCAGGCTGCTGTTAGGACCCCTGGAAGCCATTCTTCTCTAAGCTGAACAAAGCCAGCTCCCTCGGCCTCTCCTCTCCAGGTAAGTCCTCCAGAGTTCACAACCACCTCAGTGACACTTCACTGAACTCACTCCAGTTGATCACTATCTTTGTTGTACCGGGGAAGCCAAAAACTGACACAGTTATCACAGATGTTGTCTAGCAAGTGCTGAGTGCAAGGGTACAACCACCTCCCTCAACCCACTGGCTGTGCTCCTGCTTGTAAGCCCAGGAGGCTATTGGCCTTCTCTGCTGTAACTTAGCTTTGCACCGTTACTCCTCCTAAAGCTAGAGAAACAATAATTTCTAGAATAAGCATTTCCAATTTCCATTTCATAAATATTTCCAACATTCCATTTCTCTTCATGTTGCTGAATGCATTTGAAAAATACAAGAGCACATGTCATCATAGCCCCTACAAAACCTCTGCAAAAATGCTTGACATTCTGTAACGTAGAATATTATTAATGCAATTTCAGGTTCCCAACATCAAGAATGAAGAAAAAAACAACCATAAATACATACAGGGGAAGACAACACCGCTTGAAGAATAGCATCAGTGGGAATAGGAAACTACATTTCCAGGGTAGAACGCAAAGATAATACAGCCAGGGACCAAACCACACCACAGTACTAAATAACGTAACATCAGTGCATAGGAGCCCTATTTCACTCTCCGTAACAAGAATCAAAGGCACTCCAAATCAGAGTCTTGAGACAAAGAGAGATCCAACAGAGGGGTTTTGATACACTTCTAAGCCCTAAATAGCTAAAACTTAATAAAAGTTAAATACTTACTTTTATATCACAAATGTAAGCACTACACCATTTACTTTGAAATCAAATAACCTATTTGTAGATCATCCTTCATGTTGTGGTGCCTAGAGAAGATTTAACTGACATTGCCTAATTCTTGTCTGACTGCACTTCTGCTTCCCAGTATCGAAATTATTTCTACCTCTGTTGTGTTCACTAAGCATCATGTGTCCTTGTGTATCCAGAAAACATGCACAACATTAAGGACACTATCATTAAGTACTAAGAAAAGAAGCTTCCAATTGGTGAGACTACAAAACCCAAACCCTTTGTATTACTGATTTCAGTTGAAGTCTTACATACTTCAAACCTCCTGAACAGAAAAATGCGATAGCTGTTAAGTATGCCATCTTGTTTTATCAGCCAGCTGTCTATGGTCCTGCATCTGTTTTAACAAAATGTTGTTAACAAGTCAATTTTTTCAGATGACACTTTCAGAAAACTTTTCTGTCAGGTAGACTAAATACATTAAGTAAAATATTTAGTTAATACAAAGCTACATGCATATTTTACGTTTAGTTTTCGGGGTTTTATTAACACTTTGGTTGTGCTGTAAAAAACTCAACTGATTAATGAATATGATTCCTAACTGTCTTGGGATCCTTTTTTGTACCTTAAGCCTCAGTCTTACTAACGCTATCTGTGAAAATACAAAAAACGACATCTAGAAATACAGTAATAATTTAGAGGAAGGCAGTGTTTGGAAGTTATTGAAGGTGTCTGATCCTCTCTAACTCTTGTATCCTTAAAAGCCACAATAAGCAGAAAGGATTTTAGCTCAATTCCTGAACAGCTGTAATTACTGTTTATAACTATGCCAAATATATATTTAAAAAAACCAAAACAAACCAACAAACCAAACACAGAGAACACACATATATACACCGTACACATGTTTGAAAGCAATTTCCAACACTGTGATAGGCAGCTGGCTTAACAAAGCTTTTACATATAAGTTACCACAGAGCATCACTGAAGTAAGCCTGCTTTTTATATTAAAAATTTGAACCTGCTATGCATTTCTGTGTACACAAGAAGCCTAACAACTGCCCTCACATAGTAAGACAGTAAGTTAAAAGTTACTCCTTCTCTAGGTTCCATGTGATTGTTTACATAACTGACAAAGATATCTGTCATTTAGACAGGGAAACAGACTTTATTGAAGTTTGTTCTAAGTCAAACAGCAATAACAATATAGCAGTTAAAAAGTTTAATCATCATCAGGAATGTTGTTGCTCTGCATGGGAGGTTGTAATTTACCTGTTACAATCCTGAATGCAGTCACTGCAGTTGCCTTCTTTGAGGTAACATGCTGCTCTGTTTGAGTACAAGATACTTAAATCATCTGGACTTTGTTCTCCTGAAAGAATTTACAATTGATATCAAAGACCATTACTAAAATAACATTCAAGAATTAAAGACTCGCATACTCTAAGTTGCACTGCAGTGATGCAGTTTGCTGACAATGCAAGGCTGTAAGGAGTTTTCCTTTATCATGTCACCTAGATTATGTAATTATTCAAACACATAAACAAAAGTAAACAGCTCTGCCCCAAGGAAGTTAAAAGATTATTTTCACTCATCTTCCTGTATTTTGTATCACATGAATTATCCTCTAGTGACAATGACAAAGAATCCACCGCACAGTAACTGCTGCCAAAAATCCAGGGATAGGCTAGGTTAGTTCATTTGCAGTTCCTTCAAATAATCTCAACAATCCTAGATCTAAGTACAAGGTATTGCACTCACCTAGACCTATGACATATTCAATTGCTTCCGAGTATTTGAGCACAGCCTCTCCAAACTGTCCACTCTTAAATAACTCGTTTCCTTCACTTTTTAGTTTTGCTGCAGTAGGAGGAAGTGAAGTAGAGGTGCCACCACCAGCCGACTGAGACCCTGCTCCATGTGATCTGGAGATCTTCTCAGCTTCAGGGCTTTCACTCTTTTCATCACTGTGTAAATAGCCATTAACTTCACCTTCACGGTCTGACAAATGCTTTTGTGCTTTTTTCTCCGCCGTGCCTTTTTTTAATCCGCTCTCAGTGGATTCCTTCTGCTTCTGTGTCTCTCTGTCCTCCGCCTTACTGCCACCTCCCTTGCTGTGAAACTTTCTCTGCGCGTTCCCCATTTCTGCCTCCTCCGTAGCCGCCTCTCCTCTTACTGGCACGCCAATTTCTACAAGGAAGTTAATGAGCTGAGTTAGAGCTTGCATCATCAGAAGGAACTATCGTCCTGGCAAGAGAGGGGTGTACAGCCAAAGAAGACGGCACCAAATCCTTCAGACATCCTAATGTTACCAAGATTTATTCTCCTCAGAAAACACTTCCAAGAACACAGGAAAAATCCGACTTAAAATAACTTGCAATTATTACTGAGAAGGTATTACTATGAAACCTCATTTCTCCTTGCTGGTCCTATTGTAAACCCCTGGTCTGTAGTGTCAGAATGGTACACAGATCACCTTGAAATTAACTCTTTAAATACTGGCTACTACAATACTGATACTTTGATATTCCATTACCAAAACAAAATGCTTGCAAAAATTAGAACACGCAGCAGCTAACAAATTGGTAATGGTGCATGCTCCAAAACTCTCCCCAAATATAACATAGAATAAGAGGGATAAAAGCTTATAAATCATTCTTGAAAAGGTTTCATTTAAACATAATGTCAAAAAGCCTTTTATAGAGTTCTGATTGTTCAATTTTCACTACTCTATTACTAGTTTAATTAGGAAAAATCATACAATAAGGGTATCAGATATTAACACATATAAACGCCTTATTCACCTGAATTCCTAACAGACTACCACCACAGTATTCAAATACAGATTTCAGCAGAAAGCCTGACTCTTGGTATTACCAGTCATGCAAAGGCAACTCTTGTGTTTTGGTACTATTCAGATGCTGGGTTTTCACCTTCCCTTAACTTGATGTGCTCATCTGTCCAACAGAATTTTTTCATGCCTTCATATAGAGGAGAGATACTTCCAACTGACTCAAACTAAACTTCCGAAGTTGACTAAATATGGAGGAACTCCAGGTTGTTACAAATTACAGAAATTATTTTTTTAATGCATGAAATGTTACTGATCAAACTGAACAGGATGGGAAAGCATAAGATTTTTAAAAACAACAGATTCTCTAGAGCCTAACAGACAAAAGCTCCAACTGCATCCTTCCTAGCTGTGGTCTCTCTTTTGAAATACTGTGTTTAATAATAAGTTCATACTCCACAGTGGGAACAATGATAGGATAAATCTATTCTACTCACACAGACATTTTTATAAAACTTAAAGTAAATTATTTATATTTGAGACTTCCATCCATCCATCCATCCATCAAATGCTGCAGTGCCAAATATGCCAAAGAGGTTTAAAGTCTATTTGGTGGGGAGGATGAGGACCGAAGACTAGCTGGGCAGATGAATGAGGACAGGAGTACTATAATAATGATTTCCTTAGGATGCATGCTAAAATACTTTTATTTTACATCCACCAAAACAGAGAACACTGAAAAAGATATTCTACTAAAAAAAAAGGAAAAAAACAATTTTAAATAGCACAGACAAACAGGTGACAGGACAAGTTCTTAGAAAACATTCTACAGCAAAACACTCTTGAAGAGCATCCCAACTGCTAGAGACAAAGAAAAAGAAAGAAAGGCAGATAATGTGTGATGCAAATGTGAATGTCATTAATGCGAACGTCATTTCCTGAATACAGGAGAAAATTTCCTGAAGATGAAGTGCACAGAACCAATCCTGGATTAAACAGGAAACATTTATAGCACGTTGAGTCCTCCTGAAAATAAGAATACTCATAATTAACTTGTTTAGCTGTCAGGTTATGTTAATTGCCTAAATATTTCTGGACTGAGTAAACACCATCTACAAAATTGTACACATATATTTCTCAAATCTAATTCTGTCTTTCAGTTTCAGTGTTTATAACATAAACAATATTGCTGTTTTGATCTCTGCAGAAAAATGCATTCATGAAAGCAGCATTCTGGCCTTTGCCTTAAAAAAACCCCCAAAAAACAGTGCTTACTAACTTTTCAAAACAAACTAATAAAAAGGTCTACATACACAATAAATTCCAAAGAAAAGTTAAAGAAAGGTACTGAAAAGTATGGATAGGATTTTGACCAGAATGACAATAAATACAAACTAGAAAGAATTTTAATTCATGCAATACTAAAATAATGAACTTAGAATGGAAGGACTGTCATAAAACAAAAGCTACTGAATACTCCAAAAGGCATAGAATCACAGAGTTCTTTGGGTTGGAAGGGACCTTTAGAGGTCATCTGGCCCAACCTCTTGCAGTGAGCAGGGACAGCTTTAACTAGATCAGGTTGCTCATATATATATGAAGTATTTTTTTGTAATGGATGACATAATCTTTCATATAAATTATATAAATCTTTCATATAAAATTAATTTCCAGCTACACAAAGTATTTATCCTCCAGAAGCCTGCCACAAACATAGTGGTGGCAGAATGAAAAGCAACATTGTTGAGTTCACAATGAATTCGCCTATTATGAAGCCAAGAAACATTTTCAATTCTTTTATGCACTCTGGACTAGCTACTAGGCAACTGGAATGGTCCAAATCTCCACAGATTAATTCTTAATAATTTTAAATAATTTTTTGCTTTTGTCAGCAAATACCTGTCTTGTATTACGTGTTCTTGGTTTAGCTGGTTGAGATTGTACCTGGATTGTTCTGAGCCAGAACATAAAACAAACAGAATTCTCAAATAACTGATCTGTGACTGCTTAGGAGCAGTCTTTGTTCATAAAGAATGAAAAAAGATTTACTGGTCAACATTTATACTGACACTGTAATTGAAGGTTTTTCTTAACTTCAGGATATGCCCTAGAAATGCAATTCTGAAGTTAATTTTCAATCCTGTTTCTTTTAACATGATCTAAATTTTCATGTTGCTAACTTGCAATAGAGCCTAAAAGCCACAGCAGGTTGGGCCCCATTGTGCTAGATGCTGTACAAATTAATTATAAATGAGAACTCCTTCTTCAGAGAGTTTACAATTCTAAAACTTAAAAATAGCAAATGAACAAGCACACTGGAAACACGATCAGGGAATACAGAATAACTATTATATTGGATAACAAGGTGGCCAAATGTCCTCATACAAGACGTCATCAATAAGGCTTCTAACCATAAGCAGAACAGACAGAGTCAATTATTCAAGGCTACAATGGCAAAGAAACAGTACAGAAACTACTACAGCAAAATTTTGGTCACAGAGATTACTATAAATTAAGATATGGATAGGTGAGAAATCATATATGGCATAAAGGCCAAGTGAGTGAGGATACAGAACAGCCAGTAAGCATTAACCAACAGGTAACATCTCAATTATCTCAGAGCCTCAGTGATAGAGGAGAGCAGAAAGCAATACCAGGAATGATGAAAATACAACAGCAAGTACAACTGATCAGTTGAGTAGGAAAGAGCTCTAATAGTCTCCTACCCAATACACTTTGCTTCTCAACAAATCAGAAACTTCAAAATGCAAATCTAAGACCTTACTCACTGTTCGCTGTGAAAAGCCATGAAACATTAACACATATGTTGAAGAATTATCTGTAACAGCAAATAAATGTTTCATTATTCCACATGGAATAATTCAAGAAAAAGTAAAAATGTATAGACAAAGAATCCAGTTTTATTTGAAGATGTCCACTTCATAAAACATGTTTAGAAAATCAACAAGAGAAATTCAAAGAATGCTATCAACCCCTATTTATTTTGGAAAGCTGTACATCAGTCATTACGATGGCAACTCCGTTTATTTAAGGGCAGAAAGCACATTACTTCAGAGAAACCATGATACACGGTCAAGACCAGTTGAGATACACAGTACATAATTCATCAAGGATGCAGAGGGAGTTTTCATACCTCTTCAACTCCTAACAACATTACCAAAAAAGCACCATCTAGTGAAAGAAAACAAAGTCACAAGATAGTGGACTGATATAAGGAGATGCTCTTCAATCTAAAAATGGTTCCAAATCACAGTACTGTCATGTTCAATGACAAAGACCTTAATTTGGTGCTATCAAGTAGAAAGCAGACTGGAAAAAAATCACAAAATAATTCTCTGTAGCCAACTGCTGTGGTATCAAGTAAATTTAATACCACATAGGCAGCAAAACTAGAAGTCAGATGAAGGGTTTAACACAAAAGAGGTGCTCTGATGCTTCAGTAATAAGCGTCAGTGCACCAAACCAGCAATCTCAAGGTGCACAAAACAGTAGGACACATACAAAAATAAAAAACTTATATATCCTGATTCAGGAAAAAGACCTCATCCAGAAGAATATTCTCTTCACCTCTAAGTGTAATAAACCAACCACTCACAAAGAAAACACTCTCTAGGCAACATCTTTTCCCACAGTCAACTTGCAAAACATAGCATTGTTTCTTATGAGGTTTCTTGTATGTGTTTGAAGGACATCTTTTAAAGAGAGATGTGTTGTCAACTTTAGCAATAACATGTTGAGAAATAATTATTTTAAAGCTAACTTAGACTTTATTTGTTCCAATGCACTTTCCTTTTTATGAATAGATATTTACTAAATTTCAGAACTGTTTACTACAATATTTTCTAAATTATTGTAATAGATCAAGTAAATACCACACAATTCAGCTATTTTTTATGAATTAAAAGGGGCTATTTAAAATACATTTATTTATCTTTAAACCATATTTATCAGTTGATAGTATAAGTTCTATAAACATGTCAAAATATCAGGCGCTTTGTCAAGTACATACATAATTTTTAGTTTTTGTAGTGCCTGAATACTAGTTTTTACAGTTTCTAGGATATAAGCAATTTTCTGTTTCTATTGTACAAAAAGGATTTTATTTACTTTTGCTTTCAGATACATAGAAGATCGAGGTTTTTTCTTTATTTAGACTGTTTTGTTCAAAGCTAAGAAATCAACTCTTCAGAGCTAAAGAAAACAAAAATTATTTTGTTGTTTTTCTTCCGATTTGTAAATTATAAGTTTAGTAGGAATGCATGACACTTACCAACTAGAATGTGAAAAAAATATGACTACATGACTGGACTACATGGACCACTGGACTGACTGTGACTACATGACTAGACGTATAGATGTGTAAGATGCTTAGTCTACTTATTGCTATTAGGTTCACAGAACATATCAGATCAGATTTATTCAATAACTGAACTGACTTTGTATTTGTTTCCAGTTGTACTTTAAAAAACAGAGTAATCTATGAAGATGCTTGCCTCTTCAGTCTCAGAAATATTTATGTATATCACATGAACACATGTTGACAATCTCCCCTATGTTTAAAAACCTAACCTTTCATCAACAGAATAGGAGTCTTCCTATGGAGCTAGAAGGCACTTAGTCACCTGAATGCTCCAAATGGAAAGCAACCCCAAATTAACTAATATTTAAGGCTAGGGACATGATCTATCCTTTCTTCCAGGGTTTTAGCTGAGGAGACTTAGTGGATACCTACTGATTTTGAAAAATGTATTTTCCTTACATTTGTGTGCAAATGCATTATTAAATCACACATGTACAGTCTAATATTCACAATTAAGTTGGAATACCCACAGACTGATTTAATTTCAAGATAAACAACTACATAGACCACAGAAAACACAAAAGCCACAGTTGTCATGCCACATTACCTTAAAGAACCAAGAGAAAGGAGAAAGGGTGGAAATCAACCGAGGGATGTTATTCTGTTGCAGGTTGGAGCCCAGACATGCAACTGAATCTAAAAGCAACCTGCCAGTGCAAGCCTCAATAGCCCCTGCCGCCTCACTTCCTCATGCCAGTAGCTTCATCTCAACAGTCTTGCAGTTAGTCACACACTAATCCATGAAGCTGCATTTCAGCTGCTTGTAAAATACATATAGTACAAGAATTACACGTTGTTTATCTCCAATATATACTTTCGGAGCACACAGATGATCTCTTACATTAAAAACCAAAAAAAAGATGGATAGGTTTCAAAACAAGCAATGACAAAAAAATTAAATTACATGCCACGTGATCATTTTTACACCCTTTGATCCAATCAAGGGAGGAAAAATGCAGGAGAAAAATGTAATGGTGGGAAGGCAGGACAGCTGTGCAAGAGAAAGAGCCAAGGAACACAAAATGTTCTCTAACATCAGAAGAAATTCCCAACTGGGTCCCCATCAAAGGATAGGTATAAAATTACACAGGACACAGGGAAGTAGGTGATTTATAGCAACATTTTCCATTTGTCTCTGTAGTACCCTTTCTAGAAATAATTCCAAAGATGTGTAATAAAACTGGATTCTAGATTTCACACTCAGATCTACTTTAAGTAGTGAGTGTAATTTTAGTCTTCAAACAGGCAAAATTCTTTGCAAGCAAATATGGATGAATTGTGTGAAAAAACATTGCAATATCAAAGGCAATGATTTTTTTTCCTCAGGTTAAAATTAAATAGGAAATGACATGACATTACTTTTATTGCCACCGCTTCTTTCACATTCTTCTGTATTTTCCCCTCTTTCTTCATCACCTTCTGAATCCTCTATATCTTGAATAAGTATTCTTTTTCCTTTGCCTTGAGTCTCAGATACAGGCTTTAAACCTTTCAGTTTCTTTTCAATCTCTAGCAGATTTTTCTGCAATAGAGAAAAAACAGCAATAGCAGAAGCCTTTTTTTTATAGGTATATAAATTGTAATTTATATACAGAAAATACATTCTGTTAAATAAACCACATAAGATCCTGAAGAACTATCGAGATAAATGTTACCAATATAAAAACAGAGAAAATAAATGTGACTTTTCCAAGAGTCAGTATCAAAACCAGGATTAAGACTCAACTTCTGTCTCTTAGAAACTCAAAAGATATCACGCTTTTCTGGAATGAACTGCTTAAGCAAAAAAAAAAAAAATTAATTAGAGGGGAAAAAAAGTAGATTGTACTATTGTGATATCCGGCATGGCCTACTCAGAAGATACATGTGGAAAACAGTCTCTTTCCAGAATTTCCAAAAAAGCCTAAAATCAGTTCATCAAAATTTATGCTATGGAGAATTTGGTGTCCGATGGATATCTGACAGAGGAATGTAACTAACAGAAGTAGAACCAAAAGAGACAACAACTTTTTAGCAGTGTAGCAGAAGGACACTGTTGAATAATGAAAAGGTTTCCTCCTCTTGTAAGACCTGCAAATTAGATGATCAAACAGCCTCTCCTTCCATAAACATTTTTTGATTACTCAAAAAAACCCCCTCCAACTGCACTTTACACTTTCAGAGCAGAGTAAGACACACCCAACATTATGCACTGTTCTGAATTTAATTCAATGCTGTACAACAAAGTGCCATTTCAGTACTCACTTCCTCAAGAAAAAAGATAAAACAAGGACAGGAACAAGCAAAGATTCATGTGGACAAAGCACCTTGAAGAATTCCAGTTACTGACAAGCAATTTACCTTTATTTTAGTGACTCTGCACATAAGCATTCACTCTGCATGTGTTCCATATATCCATGGTTAGCTCAAGAGAGTTTTGAGGATCCTCCAAGCAAAGAGCAACTCAAAAAAATGCCCTACGAAGTACTCTGTCACCTCTAAGATGTCTCAGCCAAGACATAATAGCTGGCACAGATAAGAACAAAGTACAGACATCTGCTTACAGCTACAGAAGCGCTGCTCAGCAAAGCTACTAATGTATTTGGATCTCTGGAAGGGTGTACTTAAAATGAGTAAGTATCTTATGTCTGGTATTACAAGAAGTCTCAGCACAGCCTATTTGATAATCTTTTCACACAGACTGTTGTTGTGGAGTTTGTTGACACAGACTCACAAGCTATTTAGTGGTTTGGTCTTATAAACAGAAAAAAAAACCCAAAAGCTTTTTTAGAACTCAAATCTAGTGAGACAGGTGTTTAAAAAGAAAGACAGAGGGGAAAAGAAAAAAAGCAAGCAGGTCAATTTCTTGGCTGGTGTGAAACTCGGGAACCATTCCGGACAGGAATCTAGCTCCAAAAACACCCTAAAAGGGATGAATGCTGTATGTGGTGAATTTGACATAACAGGCTTGGACCTTTCTCACTGGTGCAAACAATAGCAGTGATCAAATAACACCATGGAAAGAAGTAGTAATCAGCAAGCTGCTAGCAGCTCAAAATGTGCCAACAATAAAAGCTGAACAGAATTCAGGTGATGAGGCAATTGTACAGCATCCAGAAGTCATATGTAAAAGAATTGGGAGGGTAGCAGTATGATGGACTCCTAATTAACAGGCAAAGAGCAGTTTAGTATCAGAACTGCCTAGTACTGGGGATTCTCAGGACACATAAGAGTCCAAATGCAAGGACTGGGTTCTAACCCACAAAATGATCCTAAGAAGATACCAATGAAATGACATGAACCAATCCTCTCCTAAATAGCTGAAGTAATAGTAGTACAAGGTCCACATCCCGACCTTGAGTTTCCAAAGAAAGCATCCGGCTTTCTTAGATCCAAAATTGGTTAAGAACAGTCCAGATTCATCAGAAGGTATAAAAGGTTTTCCATTCTTGCCCAGAGGTGAGAAATCATGAAGTGAGGACAGAACCGAGGTCCTCTCCTTTTGGGTTAACTTTACCACTATAACACTAAAAGCTTGGCATCTATTTTGAATTTTTCTTGTGAACTATGTGTCAAACTTAAATACACCTATCCCAATGGATCTTTTTGAGAGAAATTTCCAAATAACTTTGATCAGCTAAGACACTAATACTGTAAGCACATTCAGCAGCAAAATTTTAGGCACCTAAATTACATTAACAGAGACAACTTGAGTGCCTACACGTTCTCACAATTAAGTAGTAGACAGAAGATCCAGTCACACCGAAGCACCTAATTTCCACCACAGGCACCTGTGTGGTCTTGGGAAACTCATCATTGGCACAGTAGATCGAGTGCGACCTCAAAACTCATATTCAAATCAAATAATATAAACTGTACTCACTTCATGCTACAACTGCATACAACCTTTTTCTAGTCATATTTGTCTCATTTATCTTTACCTTAGCTATAGCATTTTCTGGTTCAACACATAATACTTTGTTCAGATCCTCTATAGCTGTCTGGTAATTCTGCAGCTGATTGTGTACAGTGGCACGGCGCATCAGAGCTACAAAGGAACAAAGTATATTATTTATGTATTTAAAGCATAAAGTGGATAGCAATACACTATTTTTTCTAGACATATTAAGTGTAAAACAGTTTCCAAAATTCTGCATTTACTTCACAATGACTGTGTATTAGTAATAACTGTTCTCTCGGTCATTTTTAATGATGCAATTGTACATGACACCTTTTGGGATAGCAATCATGAATTGTGAAGCATCTTTTAATATTTTTCCAATTTTCCCCCTCCTCCAGGGAAAATATAGTTAGCTACATTCAAGCCCTGGCCTTCAGAAAGGATCAGATCAGCAACTTTCATTGTTTTCATGTCACTTTTAAGGTAATTAATACTTCAGTGTGGGTATTATTAGCCCCATGCTATTTCATAAGAATACGCATTACAGATCAACAGGATGAACTGCATAAAACTTCCTTGACCACAAAAATACTGTTAAAATTTCTTTGGGTAGCTACTCTGTTTCCTTCTTTATACTTGGACTTGATCTAAAACTCAGTGAAGTCAACTAACAACATGAATGGATATGTACCATTTTATTTGCTAGAAATGAAATAATACATAGAAGGGCAAGTTTATGTTCTACTTTACCTTTTACGTTGCCAGGTTCCATATCTAGTACCTTCTCACAATCCTGCAACGCGCTATCCCAGTCCTGAAGTTTGATTTCTGCTTGAGCTTTGTTATTATATGCAGCTGCAGTGGGTATTACTGATATACTCCTGAAAAAAGGGAGTATTGACCATGGTAGGCTCATAGTTAGAAAACCTGAATGTAGAAACACTTCACTATTGGAAGCTGCAAACAGTATTATAACAATATTAATACTGATATTCTAACCATGATAGTGGTTAGAAACTTCTTCCTGTGAGACTAGTGGCAACCATCCACCAAACAGATTTACCATCTTCAGAGGTCTGTTGCTTGCCAGGGCTTCAATCTGATACGTTGCAGAGAAGATGCCATGGCTCATCTGTCCCTTAAAACTATTACCTCTTGCTGCCACCCATGTAGACTTGAATGAAACTGCCAGATAAAACCTTCAGAGTATCAAGAGTAACTACAGAGCTCTGGAGGCTATGATGAAAAGCCTGGGGGGCCACGTGGGCTTCTCCTTGATCTTGCTTGTAAAAGGGAAAGACTCAGGTAGCAGCGAATGAATCGTCCAGTTCAATGTCTGGCTGCGTGGCTGGTATTGTAGGCAGGGCTTTAGCTTCTATAACAACAGGATGATCTCTGAGGAACAAGGACAACTGGGATCCATATGACAAAGTGGTGCAAGACAATCTTTGCCAACACCCTTGCTAACTAAATTATGTTCACTGGGAAGAGGGGGTGACAGCATTCTGGAAGAGACTCACACTTTCTTTGTGAAAAAAGCATGACTGGAGGACCATCTCAAGTGCTTGTGCACAAATGCACAAAGCATGGGAAACAAAAAAGAAGAATAAAAGATCTGTGCAGCTATGATCTCAGTGAAATAGAGATATGGTGGGATAGTTTGTGTGGCTGGAGTGCTGTGATGGAGGCATGCAGGCTCTTCAGAAAGACTAGGAAGGTAAGGAGGAGGAGATACACTCCAGTCTAAGCAGTCATTAAATGTATGAATGTTTGTCTTGGAACAGGCAAGAGACTGACAAGCCAGGCAAGAGACTGACCAAGCCAGTCAAGAGCTGATGGGTAAAAATAACAGATCAGACTGACATGGTGACATCATGGTAAGCACCTGCTTCAGACTGCCTGATGAAAAGGAGCAAGCAGATGAAATCTTCTTCAGACAACTAGAGGAAGCCTCACAATTACAGGCTCTGGTTCCCATGGGGGACCTGAACCACTCTGGTATCTGCTGGAAGGGCAAAATGACAAGGCACAAGAAATCTATGAAGCTTCTGGATCATATTGAAGACAACTTCTTGACACAATCTACAAGCTGATGAGGGGGAATGCTCTGCTGGAATTGTTACTCACAATCAAGAACTGGTTGGGAATGCAAAAGTTGACAACAGCTTTGGCTGCAGCAACCATGAGATGGTAAAGTTTAAGATTCTGGGAGAAAAGAGCAAGATGAACACTAGAATTACAGCCCTGACCTTCAGAAGACAAGATTTTAGCCTGCTCAGGAATCTGCTTGGCAGGATTACAGGAAGAATGCCCTGTAGGGCAAAGGGTGCCAGGAGACCTGGTTGATCTTCAAGGACAGCTGCCTCAAAGCACAAGAATGATCCTTTCCAATGTGCAGGAAGTCAAGCACGCATAGCAGAAGGGATGAACACAGAACTCTTGACTGAGCTCAAACACAAAAATTAAATACACAGCAGGCGGCAGTGGTGATGGGCTACCCAGGGGGAATAGAGACACACTGGCTAAGTGCAAGTGATGGAATTAATAAAGCAAAAGCTCAGCTGAAGTTGAAACTAGAAAAGGGATGTAAGGAGCAACAAGAAAAGTTCTTAACTTTTTTTTTAAAGGTCTATCAGCAGCAAAACAAAGATTAAGGATACTGTGGGCCACTGATCAATGCAGCAGAAGACCTAGTGACAAAGGACATGAAAAAGTTTGAGATACTCAGTGGCTTCTTTGCTTCAGTGAAGTCTTCATTGGTAAGGTTTGCCCTCAGGCTTCCCAGGTCCCTGAGTCTAGAGGCAGATTCTATACGAGTGAAGCAGTATCCACAATAGAGGAAGATAAAGTTAAGAAACACTTAAGAAAATAGGATAAACACAAGTTCCAGATGGGGTGTTCAGGAAGTTGGCCAATGTTAGTACAAGACGATTCTATATCATCTTTGAAACGTCATGGTGATTGGGAGAGGTTCCTGGTGACTGGTAAAGGCTAACGTCACATATACCTTCAAGAACAGCAAGGTGGAGGACCTGGGAAACTACAGGCTGGTCAGTCTAACAAAGGCAGATCACACCAAGACCAACCTGATAGCTTTCTTTGCTGAGTGGCTCAGTGAAGGAAGGAAAAACAGAGGATGTTGCTTACCTTGACTGTAGCAAAGCCTGTGACATGATCTCCCATATTATTCTTATAGCCAAATAGGTAAAACGCGGACTAGATAAGTGGCCAATAAGGCAGACAGAACACTGACCGGACTGCTGGGCTCCAAGAATTGATCCATACAAAGTCTGGTGACCAGATACTAGTGGCCTCCCTTTGGGATCAAGTTTTTAACATCTTTATCAGGGGGGTATAAGATGGAACAGAAGGCACCCCCAGGAAGTTTGTCAATGATACAAAGCTGGCAGGGAAGGAACAGTCAATAACACACTGAACAGCAGAACTCCAGTCAAAGGGACCTTAACAGGCCAGAGGAATGGGCTGGCAGACTTCTCAGGAAGTTCAGAAAAGGCAAGCACAAAATTCTGCACCTGCACTGTAGCAACAGTGCAGGCTGGGTGCCAACTATCTAGAAAGCAGCTTTGCAGGAAAGGACCTGAGGGCTCAGGTGGACAGCAGATTGAACTGGAGTTAACAGTGTGCTCTCAAGGCAAAGAAGGTGTACCATATGCTGGGCCATATTAGCAAGAGTGTAGCCAGGAGGCTGACAGAAGCGGTTCTTCCCCTCTCTTCAGTACCTATGACACAACAGGCGGAGTACTTGTGTTCAGTCTGAGGCTCTCCTGTACACAAAAGGCACCAACAAACTGGAGTGAGTCCAACGCATCACCAGGATAGTTAGGGGGCTGGAGTACATGCATGTTTTTTATATTCATGTTCATGTATTAAAAAAACCCAAGAAAGATGTTAAGGCTCAAGTCAAGAACAAAAAAAATACACACCAAATGCCTCAGTTTAAACAGCCTGTGTGCTATGAATATCAATACCTTTGTGCACATATATACATCAACAATCTCCAGGTAAATTTTCGTAAGCTGTTCTACAAAACCCTGCCTCCTTCAGTGACAGTATGAATGGTGCTTCCTAAACATAAATCTGTTCAATATTTATTTTATTGCTGTTGCACACAATTTATTCCTACTCATTATTTTGTCTGCACCAACCAGAGACACATTAACTTCCTCATAAATTTTTTTGGAGGATATCCCATTATAATATCATAGTCCATGAAATCTCTTAACACTTCATCTCACAGTAGTGCTGTATCATTACCCTTAGTTTACACTGGTAATTAATATACCAAGATTCCCATATGCTCTTAATTTCTAAGTGACAACTTTGACACTTCTAGGACTTCTGGTTTTTTAAAGTCCTTATAATTTCAAAGCACAGAGTTAAACACAAAATCGAGTTTCCTTTAACATTACTTTAATGTGTTAGCAGTCAGCACTTTTGCAAGTCAGACCTCTAGCGTCTCAAGATGGGTAATCTGCAAATGAGAAACAAATGTTGGTCTTGTGAAAATCCTGGTCTGTATAAATGGCATCATGTTTGAACACTGTGAAAAAGGTAGGGGAAAAATCTATCTCTCCCAAGGTAGCATTTGAATACCTTAAATGAAACACTATCCTTCCCTTCCTGTTGTGCTCAAATCCATTCACCTTGAGCTTTTCTACTTTTGAAACAAATACAACAACTGTAGCAACAACCTCTATTTATGTAAAGTCAAAGTCTGAATGTAGTCCACTGTGCATTAAATAAGGCAACCAACCTATAGGAGTCTCATATTTTTTTAAATCCTGTGTTTATATGGTTTCCCTCTGGATTGCTACGAATTACAGACAGTGTTATGATGAAGCTGCACACAATGATTTTTCTTTCTCCTAAGAAAAGGTTATTAAATCAATTTTACTTATTAACAATTGAGACAATCCTACCAATACGATTAATTAGAATTCATTTGTAATTAATTTAGTTTCTCAACACACTGCTTATCCTTTCACTTTTGTAAACTTGCCCTTGAATCTCAATGGTTTTGAAAAATCTGAAGAACTTTCTGACACTTGCAGATTGCACCCCATCACTATTTTATCCACTTCTCTTCCTGATAAATAAAAATTAGTATCAGGATGCAACAGTGCTTTAAGTACTCTTCTGTCAAATCTTTTTGCCCTTTTGAAAATAATCTAATTGTCACTAGTTGCTTCAGTAAGAAGCTGCTTTATTAAAATTGCTCTAAAAATAATATTCAGAAGTAACCATCATTAACACAGAAGAACACAATAGTATTCACTGACCGACTGTAATATGTCACTGCTTCCACATAATCCCCAATGGCAAAGGCTTCATTGCCCTTTTCTTTTTCACGAGTAGCAATAAAAATCTTCTCTTTCTCTGTCATGCCTAGAAAAAATATTTATACATAACAACTAACAACTTTCACAGATGCAATCAAAACATTGTCAGCTAAAATAGTTTGAATGTCATAATCTGCATATTTTTAAAAATAATATGGCGTACTAAAAGACAAATTTGTATTTTACTTTCTATAATAAGAACCTAAATACTTCTGATATGCATACAATTCAGAATGCAAGATGAAAGTGGTTGGCTAACTTCCACCACTGATTTATAACAGCAGAAGTATGCTTTATTTCTTTACCTACCGCTCTCAACCTAAACACAACATAAATATTTTAACCGATTATTAACACCAAGACTAGTTTTTTTTCAAATATGGCTTCAGTTAACATCCTAAGAACTTTTAGCATCTCTAGGGGCTGAAAAATAAAGATACTTTTACCTCAATAAATTGCTTCCTCAATTTGTATTCACACTCTATAACACAGTATTACAATTAAAGAAAAATTACATGTTTTTGAGACATTACCAGTTGTGTCTATTTTCTTTTTGATTATAGGCAGACTTGGCCTACTAAAGAATCTTGCTTTTGAGTTATTTTCTTCACAGCCTTCATCAATTTTAGAACACTCCTTTTCCACATCGAACCTTAAATTAATAAAAATAACAAATTCAATAATGCTGCATAGAAAGACTCCTCTACTAATATAAAGGCACACTATATTTCCATTATAAACCAAAGGAAATGAGAGATAAAGGCTGTGTTCAGTTATCCATGACTAGTTAGGAAAAAAATGTTTAGTCTTACCTCCTTTCCTTGTGTTGGGTTTTTTTGTGTGTGCTTCTCCTGCTTATACATTACCTCCCCTCTTCCTCCTCCCTTCTGGTTAAAACCAAGCCAAGAAAATGTCTACCTCACCTCCTCACCATCCCCACAAAAGACAGGTAAAATTTAAGAAACAGTATCATCAGGCTCAGTCCCAGCCCTATCAATCATCTCTATTATCCTTTGCCAAAATACCTAAGAAACAGCTTCAAAGCAATTAATACTGTAAAGGTGAGAGATATTTCAAAATATTCTCAAGACACTTCCACGGATACTCTGAAGCAGCTTTTGAAAACAGTGTTTAGGAATTGATATCAAATAAATATTGCTGCCATAGTCCTATAAAACAAATAAAGTAATAACCAATTCCTACACTATCTCGAAGCACTACACTCACTGCTTTTCTGTTTAGGACTTAATGAAAAATATCCTTTGCTTTCACAACAATCTTGACAATATGAATAATTTCTATCTGGAATAGACACACAATTTTGAGAATTTATCAAATTCAAAACTTTTTCAGGTAAGACTAATTGTTCTCCATTTTGATTCTGATCTTTTGCTAGCTTACTTTCACCTATTTATTATAAATTAACCACATTTCAAGATAGGTGCCTTTAAAATATGAAGTGAAACTTTTTTGTTCAGAAATTGCCTAAACAATTATTTGAAGGTTTTGAAATTACCTTTAAAATGTTTTGAAAACATGGAAAACATGATATGCTTGAAACTGGAAAATTTCTTTTTCACTATACTTGTATTATCCAAAACAAATACATTACATGGGAAAAATCACAAACTGTAGTATTATCAGCATGCTAAAGCACTTAAAGATTGAATACATAAAACTGCAAACAAAACCCCCAAATGATTACTTTAAATGATACAGAGGAAACAGGGATGAAAGAATAAATTGCTGCAGAATTTCTTTTGATAACCTATTTTGTTTGTCCACATTGAGCAGGAAGACCCCAATTTCCAAAACATACATGCATGAAAATAACTGATATGCACAACTCTTTGTAAGAACAGCATCTTACACAGACAAGGTTTTTGTTGTGGTTTCGGGTAGAGTGAGACATTAAGAGTTTCATTACCCAGCCCCCAGTCTCTAGATTTAGTTCCCCATCTACAGCACTGGGAACTTGTGCCTCCTCACTCCAATTCTACAGCATCATATTCCAGATCTAAGGAGCTAGAGAGAAGCTGCTACAATGCAAAACACAGAAGTATGTGCATTTCCCCCTCTGTGTTCAACAATTTGGGAGCATCAATCTGTCACGTAACTTGGGAGGGTAATATGCCATCATTACATGATGCAGAGAGTGTCTTTCTATCAGGGCTCCATCCATCCAACAAATAGACAGTTACTGTCTAAACCTCTGACTGTGTGTAATTGCATCTGAGCAAACTGATGCACCTGCCTCAAGCTCATTCTTTGTGGTCAGCGGGACTCAGTGCAGGAATAAGGATTCATCAATTTTGGTTTTAATTTAGAATTGTGACTTTAGATACACAGAAGATCAAACTTATAAGCCCATGTTAACCCTAGAAGCACTTTCAAAAAAACCCTGATAAATTAAGCTAATTTTAATCCCTTAGTTTTACGTACCTCCATAGATTTTATATCGTAGTTGTTTAAAAGAAAAATGAAATCTGAAACAAAATCACTTTTTATTTGTATTTTCTGCCAACTTGTTATATTTCATGCAGCTTGAACAAAAGTATAGACTAAACTGTTTTCAGCTGTTAGCACCACAGTGCGTCATCTGCATTTTAACAGAACATTCATTATGGAAAACCTAAGTTTCACCAAAGTGTTATAATTCCCTGAAACACTGACCTTAATGCTATGTTTCTGGAAAATACTTTAAAAAACAACATTTAATAATGTTCCATTATTAAACAAATACATAAGATTTAATTAAAACTTAAATATAAAGGATTTAACATACTTGTCCCATTCACTGTAATCCCGTGGTATGCTTTTCTTGTTTCTTTGTTTGTTTTGTAATTTTTTGTTCTGAAAGAGAAACAGCCAGCCTGTAAGACAATTTTTTAAAGTGGAAATTCACAACCTTTTTTTGTTTTGTTTTGTTTCTGCAATACATATTCCTAGGAGCTAACACTATTCATGATTAATCTCAGCATAGTCTTGAAAACTTCATTCATCTTGCTTTAAAGAAAATCTTTATGTATTTGACATATCATTGTAATCTGAGGAGCTCTTCAGTCTCACGCTTTCTCTCCACTGCCCTGTTATATGTCACAGAAGCACTGAACAAAACTTTCAGACATGAGACTGCTCTTCCTAATTAGTATCTTGTGCTGCCATCTTCCAAACCATCCTTTCAACACAGCAAGGGAGAACTCAATCTTGGGAAACCCCAGCCTTGTGATGAGGTGTTTTACACTGAGATTGAATCAGTAACCTCATTATAAGCTTGCCATTCCCAAGAGAATGCAATGCACAGATTCTGATAGTCCCTGGAACCCTCACAACAAACTTGCAAATGAAAAATTTGTTTAACTTCAAAATAGTGTCTGTACTTCTTTTGACTGTTTCACACTCCGGTCAAGCTAATTCCCAAGATGATTTACACTCATTCTAGCTTTTAAACAAGCTCCATCATTAAGATCTGCCTTAACTAAAATTTATCCTTAGGACCTTCCTGCAACAATCAGTCCCAATAACAGATTCGACTGACTTGTATCACAACCCATCTCCTACACTAATGGAATCTATTTCCATAGCTGGCACCTTTGGCATCTCTTCTACCTCTGTCATGAGACTATATTTCTGCTGTGTCCCTCCCTGCTTGTTGACCTCAACAATACTTAATAGCAAGGTGTGGTTCCAAACAGGTATCCCACAGTGGGACAGCCAGTTCAAAATATTCCCCATCTACTCTGTCCTGGCTGTTCAGCCCTCCGCTTACCTTGCATCTATCACTCACTGAGTTAGACCTATGTAATTTTTTGTAGAGCTGCAGATTTACAATTATCTGGGTTCAAACAAACAATTTGGTAGAGATCACAGTGCAATCCCTAAATATCTGTACCAGTTCAACTGAGCATGTGATAAATGGGACCAAAGAAACAAGCAGCAGCCTCTTAAATTAGCTTTACCAGTGGTGATGCGGTAACAAGGAAGTACTTCTGCAGCTGTATGTAAACACCCCAATTTACATAATGCAAATGTGACCCTTCCTGTAAACACTTCTGACTGTCTATAATGTTAGGTTACACAAACCTTTATAGTATATAACTTCAGAGTTACTCTTAATGTTCTCAGTCTTTCAAGAAGCTAGACAAAATTACAAATACATTTAGTGATCAGCACGTTTGGAGGAGGTAACTCCTAAACATGGCTTCCTGAAATATGACTTTCCATTATGTATGCATCCTGGTATATATTACAAACTTACTAATTTAATAAATATCAAATCTTTTTTTCAAACCAGAAGTCCTTAAATGAGCACAAAACCAGTAAAACTCTCAGAAGAAAACTCATAAGGTATTTACATTAATACAACTTTAATTTAGGGAGAGAACTACAGCATGTCCTTTTAAGGAATAAGGAAGAAGTGTTGATTCAAAAATGCAGAATTTTTAAAATTCTAGGTCTCATATTCTTGGGCCCATTGTAACCAAGTTCCAGCTGCCGCAGTGTCAGGAATTTCTCAATCAGTAATATTTCAGAGCATCTCGTCCAAAAGGCTTTTATGAAAAATGTGTGTTTGCATGCTGTGGAACTGAAAAAAAAACCCCCAAAACTCTGCCCTTGTCATTTTTCTTGCCAGAACTCACAACACATGGCTCCCACAGGGTCTGAAGGCCGGTGAACAATTTCTGGACCAAAGATCAAAGCATGGACTGGCTTCAGTTCAGGTGACACAGAATCTGACCTTGGTTCTCCTCTGGGCCCTGTGGGATGGCCTAAGACATTACTATTCTGCATCAGCTAACCAGTATTCTTTTTTAGTTCAGAGTATCCAAAATAATATGAAGGCTATATTGTTGCATCTGAGGACAGAAATCATTCTGGAATAGTATTAGGAAACTGTCTTTGGCAAAGGAACCTAAGTCTGCTGAAACCCAATCCATACAGTCTTTTGGAAGTGAGTATTTCTAAACCCATGCTTTAGTTCTGCCCTGGAAAAAGTGAGGCAGCAAAAATAATAATTTAGCAATGTGGACAGTTAGGAACAGAAAACCTCAAGCTGTTTCTCCAGTCCTCTTTTATTTTGCAGTAGACATGTAACCTCGAAGTCCTGGGCTGTGTGAAAGAAAAACAGGGGTGTAAGACAGAAACTTCCTTATTGTGTTAGAGGGCAATATTGCATAAAGTTCACACTTTATCGATTCATTTTTGGAAAATCTTCCCCATAACTTCACATCAATAAAAAGAAAACACCACATAGAGTTACAAGCTATTAGTAGTGAATTGAAACTGTACCTACATTTAGTAGCAGCAAGAAAATCTAGTTACAGACACAACAAGATGCTCCCATTTACCAAAATTGTACCCATTGGTGCAACCCACTGTTTTAGATTCAATAAGGATTTCCAGATTTGGCTTCATTGAAGAATACATGTCCTGGTTTTGGCTGGGATAGAGTTAATTTTCTTCCTAGTAGCTGACATAGTGCTGTGTTTTGGATTTAGCATGAGAATAAGGTTGGTAACACACTGATGTTTTAGTTGCTAAGTACTGCTTACACTAGTCAAGGACTTTCCAACTTCTCATGTCCTGCCAATGAGAAGCTGGGAGGGGGCACAGCCAGGATAGTTGACCCAAACTGGCCAAAGGGGTATTCCATACCATATGACATCATGCTCAGTATATAAGCTGGGGGAAGTTGGCTGGGGGACAGCAATTGCTACTCGGGGATTGGCTGCGCATTGGTTGGCGGGTGGTGAGCAATTGCATTATGCATCACCTACTTTGTGTATTATTATTATTATTACTACTGCTACTATTTTACTTTATTTTATTTCAATTATTAAACTGTTCTTATCTCTAACCACGAGTTTTCTCACTTTTACCCTTCCGATTCTCTCCCCCATCCCACTGGTGCAGGAGTAGTGAGCGAGCGGCTATGTGGTGCTTAGTTGCCAGCTGGGGTTAAACCATGACAAAATCTAATTACAGACACAAGATGCTTCCATTTACCAGACTTGTACCCATTGGTGCAATCCACTGTTTCAGAGTCAATAAGGATTTCCAGATTTGGCTTCACTGAAGATACTGAACTTTTTATGCATCAGATCAGATGAACATACACAGTCTTCAATCAAATAACAACATAAAATTATGGAAGGGTTTGTGGCTTGCTTTCTAGCAGAGAGAAGAAATTTATCATGCCAACTTTATACTTGATACCGCATTACAAAATGATGTGATGCCAGTGTAAAAAATAATTAGTCTTAACTGATTAGTAAAACATGTTTAAAAATTTTAAGATTACACATACCTTTATCAGCAAGAAAGAAAAGAAATAAAAACTGCTTAAGTATATTATTAATCTAATTTTTTTGAGATTTCATATTACAGGTGTGAATTTAGTGTAAACTATAGAAACAGCTTCTTTTTATTCAGTAGTGGTCTAGTAGTGGTGTAAGTGCAGTGCTACACAGAAAAATTGAATTCTAAAACTCAGTTTCAGGCCTCCCTTCTCTCTTTCAGGACTGGTTACAATTACTTCACAGGCCGTCTCCTTGGACAAAAGGAATGGAAATCATATACAACAGATAAGGCATAAAGCTGCATCTAGGTTTCCTGGGTAATAATGCTAACACCTAAACCTTGTATGGAGAACAAAAATGATAAAAACTTGACCTGAAGACTGTTGCATGGTTTAAAGTAGAAGAAAAAAAATCTGAATAAATATTTTGTCTTTGATTGGAGAACACATCCTCTTTAGTAAAACTGTATATCCTAGATTTCAAGCCACTTTCCACCATTTTATGCTTAATTCTAATCTGGATTCACTGAGTTCACATCATATTTTACTTACCATTTTATGTTCTAGGAAACACAGAGCACATAAGTCAAGAGTAAAGCTACAGTGGCACTCTTCACCTCAGCAAAATAGGACAGTCAGGAGGAATATATGTTGCAAAATGTGAAAGAGGACAGATTATTGAAAAAAACCCCAAAACAAAACCAAAAGCACACGTTAGTCTCAATACTAACCACTAATAAAGCATTACACTGGAATTCCCAGCCTCTTTGTATACGACATAACGGAGAGTGCCTAGCTATCCCAAATGTATCGGTCTGATGTCTAAGTACCAGCTGACAATAAGGAGTAGTTTCTGACAACACAGGATCACAAATCAGGCATTTACTAATACATAACTATGCCAATAAAATCTTTTAAGTTATCAATTAATAACAAATATCACATGACCCATAAGGATCCTTTCATAACATTTCTCACTTTCAAACTTCCAAAAAGAAAAATCCTTCAGTGAATTTGTTACAAGTGTCCCAGAATTCCAAAGTAGTGGGAATCAGACTGAAACCATCCGTGGTAACATCTGACAATTCAAAAAAATCCCATCCCACACCTACTTTTCTGCCAATCCCTCCAATAGCACTGCATTCAGTATTAGTAAGGAAAGCTGGTCACAGACTAGACAGATTTCAGGCAGATAAATAAATGGAAAAAACCCATGAGGAAACTAATACCTACAAAAAAATGTAAATGTTTATTCTGTAGTTCTGCAGATTTGTTAAGTATGCTTTATGGCTAAATTAGAAAGTATGCTTTATGGCTAAACCTGGAATACCAACTCAAGGTACAAAATATGGGGAATTAAAGGCTACATATACACCAGTCCAACCCAATACAGAAGTGGCTATAGAATGAAACAGTTGGTGCAATGGGTCCAACACCCACACTGTATGTGTTTCAAGCTATTTATTTTGGACTAGCTCCTGTCTGGTCTCACAGAACAAAAGCCTACTGGCAGCTGGAAAAAGTCTCCTGGCATATCTTCATCCAAAAGGAACTTAGTTCATATGCTTAAACACCACTTTGAAATGCGAATCAAAGAACAGAAAAGGGTGTTTAAGGAGATTTGCTCCAGAAGTTAATTCTTGATCAGAATTAAAACATTATTACAAGACACATGCTAGTACTAAAGAGGCACTGTTGTTTAAGCATTGGTCTCTTGCAAGGGAACTTAAAGGTTTTTATTTTCTGGTGAACAAAATAGATCTAGTAAGAAAGGCTCAATGATTAGAAGTTTGTACATATAAAATTTCCCAATTTTAGAAAGACATATAATTAACACACATTAGAAAACCGGAGGTACCTGATTAGCAGGAAGACAGCTGCTGGAACAACGAATAGGAGGCAAGTTATCTTGTCTTTCATGCAGTGTGTCTGTTCTCAGGAACTGTGGTTTCTTATCATCATCATCATCATTCATTTCTGTCACCCAGCTCTGAAAATAAATGAATAATATATCTGTACCTTAAAGCAGTACAGCAGATATACTTTATAGTCTACAATGACCCTAACAATTATCCCTACAATGCACTGGTCTTAATGGTGAAAAGCAATTAAGACAAAAAGCAATTGTGCTTTTTGGAATAAAAATTAATCTACAAAAAAATCTGTAGAGTTAAAATGGGCATTAAAGATTCAGTGACATTAATGCAATAAAATAATTAAAAACCCCAACATAATCCTTTGATCATTTCCTCATTTAATCAAATAATTACATTCTACTTATGCACAAGAGGAAGACTGATACATTAAAGTGATTACATTACTGACCATTACAAATTAGAGTTATACTGTACCATCAGTTCATCACTAATTGTTTTCCACTCTTCAGCTGTGAAATCAGAAGCTGTGGCTGCAGGCCGATCTTTTCTCAGAGCTCTGCTCCCTGGATCCAAATGCTCAATACGCTTTTCACAAAACAATATAAGTTCAGGATAATATCCCTCTTCACCAGACCTTTAAAATGCGAAGATATAAAAATTACAAAAAAGAACTAAACCGCACTGTGTCCTCCATATTTCTCTGCATGTGTAGTCTCTGTGTAGTCACCACAGTGACTGCAGAGGACTGTTTTCCTGTTACAGCTGAATTCTGCTATCATATAATAACATTTTGATCAGAAAATTCCAGTGAGTTAACCTTTAACAACTTTGCAATGGACACACATACACAGTTCAAAATTATCATCACAGTGCTCATAAAAAAATGCTCTTGTCATTTTCAGCAAAAGTTAAACAAGCATGGCATCTGAAATCACCACAAACAGGCAAGATGGCTTCATGACAGAACCAAAATCCAGCAGCAGCATTTGAGAAAAATCTGGCATTGAGTTACTCAGACCTTTTTGACAGTTAAAATAGGACCTGGATTTCTAGCGTTATCATTTGGACACTTTTAACATGATTACTTTAACTCTGTATTTTAATTTTTAAATTAGAAAGTCACAAAGAGGTTCAAGACAAATAGAGTATTTAGGTACAGGTTCCTTCGAATTTCAAAGAACAGGAATATAACTAGTAACAAAGTTAAGAAAATGTAGTGTTTACCTTAATACCCTGAGAATCTTTTCCAGGTGTTTAACATCTGTGCATTTTTCAATGAACTTGTAGTCCAGATGACCAATAGGTATTTGATATGTTTTAGTGGTTCCTTGGTCCAGTAAAAATGGTACTGACTCATCACCCATAACTAAATATTAAAGGGAAAAAATGTAGTGATTCTGTAGGCATTCAGTTACATTTTGAAGCAATACTAATTTAAGGAATAACCCTGCTCATGCTCCAAAGTACTGCTCTGTTATGCAATCGGACCTATTGCCACAAAAGAAGAATTTCAAATTTGAAGACCTGATCACACAAACTGTTCTTGACAGAGGTTTACTGACAGAAGTATGGTTATATACAAGAGATGTTTTGGAAAAAGAATGTGTACAACTCTACTGCTTCTGCAAGGCAGAACAAGTCAGGAAGACTGCTTAAAGAAAAATTGCCAATTTTTGCCTACCACATTCTCTATTTTTCTTTAAACACAATATGGTATTACCTATTTTAAGCAAGTGTGGTGGGGATGAAGGAGAAGATGTTGCAGGACCTTCTCTTTTTTTCAGAGGGAAGATGTTAACCAACTGTGTATCTAATGGAATGATAACCTTTGCCTTTTCTGTAGCCAAAATAAATCCAATTGTTTGTCTTTCCTCACTAACTGCATTTTCTGAGCCTCTGATTATACTGAACTGAATCTTTTCCAGTAAGTCTGTAACTGATGAAGTGAGGTGTTCAAATGGGACACTTCCTGTCTCCCTGTACCTTTGATCTTCTTATCTGCACCTTTTTCTATTTTGATTTCAAGCTCTATGGAGCAGAAATTCTTTGTTTCCCCCACCTTATATAGTGCTTAAATCGATCAGTTATTTTTAACAAGTACAATAAGGGCAGCCAGCTAATATGTGATAACAACTATGTATGGATATAAACCCACATAAAATCATAGACTCATAGAATGCTTTGGGTTGGAAGGGACCTTTAGAGGTCATCTAGCCCAACCCCCCTGCAGTGAGAGGGACAGCTTTAACCAGATCAGGGTGCTCAGAGCCCCGTCCAACCTGACCTTGAGTGTTTCCGGGAATGGAGCCTCCACCACCTCTCTGGGCAACCTGTTCCAGTGCCTCACCACCTTCATTGGAAAAAATTTCTTCCTTATATCCAGTCTAAATCTATTCTTCTTTAGTTTAAAACCATTACTCCTTGTCCTGTCACAACAGGCCTTGCTAAAAAGATTCTCCCCATCCTTCCTGTAGGCCCCCTTTAAGTACTGGAAGGACGCAATAAGGTCTCCTCGCAGCCTTCTCTTTTCCAGGCTGAACAACCCCAACTCTCTCAGCCTGGCCTCACAGGAGAGGTGCTCCAGCCCTTGGATCATTTTTGTGGCCCTCCTCTGGACCCGCTCCAGCAGGTCCATGTCCTTCTTGTGCTGAGGGCCCCAGAGCTGGACGCAGTGCTCCAGGTGGGGTCTCACCAGAGCAGAGTAGAGGGGCAGAATCACCTCCCTCGACCTGCTGGCCACGCTTCTCTTGATGCAGCCCAGGATACGGTTGGCTTTCTGGGCTGCAAGCGCACATTGCCAGTTCATGTCCAGCTTTTCATCCACCAGTACCCCCAAGTCCTTCTCCACAGGGCCGCTCTCAATCCCTTCATACCGGAGCCTGTACTGATATTGGGGGTTGCCCAGTCCCAGGTGTAGGGGAGATAATTGTGTTCTAACATCTAGCGTAATTACACATCTCAATTTGTAGTTGCAGAGAAATGTTTACAATACAGTATCACTTAAATAACAACTGGTGATAATTAGGTACTGCAAGAAGATAGGATTCTGCCCCAAGAATTTACAGTTTCAGTATAGGAAAAGAAACAACATGTGTGGAGAGACAGACGAATACAGGGAATAACTAGAAAGCAGTAAAAAGCAACAGAGGCACTCGTCACAAAACTGCAACATTTTCTCCCGTTTCACTACTTCCATAACTTTGAGGAATAAGGAGTTCCGCCGGGCGCCCAGAGCAGATCTCGGGCCTGGCGGTAAGGCGGCGGCCCC